AGAAGGCACAGTGTGCAAGCTTTCATGGTTGCTATTTCTACTTCAGTCAAGAAATTACAAAAAAGGAACCAGAGAGGAAAGAAAGGGAGAACGCTTGATTGCAAGTCCTTGTAGATTCAAGACAATATGGTGACTGCAAAACTGCAAACTAAAGGAAGCTGTTTATTATGACTGCTCTTCGCCAATTAATACTGCATTAATTAGACTCTCCAGGTGACTTGTATAATGGAAAGAATTTATCTCCTTTATAACAGTTTCTCCTATAAAATGTATCTTGAAAACACCAATAATTTCTGTCTTAAATACATTCAGGACATAAGAAAATGTGTATATGACAGCTTTACTCAGCCTGATAATCTCCAGATGTTGCAGACCTCAGTATTTTTCATCGGACGTGAAAGCTAGGACTGATGGGAACTGTAGAGTACCAGGTTGGGAAAGGCTGATATATGTGTACGTACATAGGTTTCATGAATACCATCTTTTTTTCCCATCTCCCTTATGTGCAGTATAAGCAAAGTGTGCCACACTAGAAATAAAAAATTATATGGCATGAAACAGGGAGTAAATTATTTATGGTCTGATTTTATTGTTATAATTTAACAATAAAATATAACTTCTTAAGAGTTCATTGTTCTGTTCTTACTATTGATTTGGATGGTGCAGCTATTCAGGAAGTTTGTCCCAGTTTGACTTGGGTTGATCTGAAGTTTCTTATGGCAATTAAATCACTGTTATCCTGTTTAATTATCCTAGGTAATATTTGGGGCAGGATGACACCTCAAATTGCTACAATTCTCAATAGGACTGCAGGTCACCAACCCTCCTCTGTCATTCATATGACCCTCTCCCCCTCCCTTAACATTTTTGTTTGGCAAGTGACATAGCACTGAATTGGTATAATGACATATAACAACTTCAGTGCTTATTTGACATAGTGCTACATTGGAAAAGCATAATTTAAAAACACTGATCGGAGGAGAGAGGTGCTGACTTGAAAGGGATGCTCCTGCTATTCTAGCATACCTTTCAGCATGGCATACTATGATAGCACAGTGGGAACATCCCTCTCAAGTCAGTGTCTCTTATATTTCCTTCAAATAATTTTAAAAATTGTACTTCTGCAGTCCAATGATATATCAGATAAACACTTCAACTTCACAAGTTATATCAATTCAGCACTATGTCATTTGACAAACCATTTTAAAAAAGATGCCCTGCTGACATCATCACTCTAGGACATTCCTGCCACTGCACCTTTGGACCAATATAGACCATGTGCCACCAACTGAAAACAAACAAACAAACAAACAAAAACCTGCCACTGCACCTTTGGACCAATGTAGACCATGTGCCACCAACTACAAACAAACAAACAAACAAACAAACAAACAAAAACCACGCCAAAAGAAACACTAGCCCCTCCTGACTGAACCAAAAGCTATAAATGCCCGTGAAGAAAAGACCAGGCTTTCTTGCAATTAGCTTTATACATCATGCAGCTGACACAATATATGCTAAATTTAAATATGTCGACTCCAGCATAAACTGCAGGGTTAATTGTAACCGTAACTGCACCTTCATAGCACCTTTCCCTACCCTTTCTGTTTTGAATCAGCTCATGGTGCACAGTGTCACTCAATTCTCTGAGCTAGTTGTGTATTTTAAGCATTTAGAGTACAATGCTTAGTTCTGTACTCAGATGCATTAAATGTGGGAATCCCACATTTTGCTCATCAGTATTCAGTGGAAAAAACCCACCTTATAAACCACGTTGTTGTGTTTATGAATACAACAGGTTCAATAGGTTTTGCACTATTTCAACAGTATAAAGTGATCATGTTTATCTGGCCAAATACATGCTATCCATAATGAAATGTGAAGCTTTCTAGGAATCAGGGATGGAGAGTGCAAGCCTCCTTCCCAGAAGCTGCTAGCGTGCATCTCTTATGTTCCATTGTTATTAGCTAAGCTTTCTAGGGTTGATGGGTGTTGTAGTCCAACAACATCTACAGACATTTCTAGTCTGTAGTATGACTCTACTGAGGTCAGTTCCTAATGTAATGGCTATAGGGTTGCTGGCATTACAGAACAGATACTGTATGACATATTCAAGAGCCCGAATCACTCCGAATTAATACATAGTTAGGAATGCGCTGTTGAAAATGATTTTCACAAGACCTTCCTTACCATTGTTCGACAGTGGACCCTCGACTTACAGACGGTTCAACTTACAGACTTTTCGAGTTACAGACTTCTCTCGCCACAAAATTTAGGTTCAGCTTGCAGCTGGAGAATCGACCTACAGACCTGAAAAAAACAAAAAAACAAAATGGAACAAAAATGGCTGGTTACGGATTAATTGGTTTTCAATGCATTGTAGGTCAATGGAGCCTTGACCTACAGACTTTTTGACCTCCAGCCACTGTTCCAATATGGATTAATTCCATAAGTTGAGGGTCCACTGTATTTAAGTGTGTTTTAAAGGAACTGATATACTATCTGGCATAAATTGTGGGGGAAAAATCACTGTTGGGGTTCAACTCAATTTAAACAGATGGAAACTGGTGAGGTTCTCCTGCTTCACATTAGCTGAGGACCTCTCAAATGAAGAGGCAGAGTAAACAGATGGCTTTTACCTGTCATGCCAAACAGTCTGCAGATACTATCTGTTGTAAAACTGTCATGGGCAATTTAACAGAAGAGTCCTGGCCATCCCAGTTGCTTTGATAATGTCAGCAGCTAAGAGATAACCTGGGTGCTTGTCTCTCTTGCATAAGAATTGCCAAAAGTCTGCCCAGTTCTTTAGTGTTGCAGTATTTTAAGTTAAATAGCCCCTGACACATTTTTGGCACTGGACAAAAGTGAAGCGGAAGTGATAGCGATGAAGTATTGTCAGTTGTCTGAGTTTAATAGATTCAAGACTGTAAGAAGGAGTGAGTCTGAAAGGCAGCTAAGCATGGAATAACTCTATACTGTTGAACACCAGGGGAATGGAACCATTTCATGGTTTCTACTGCATATTTCATATTCAAAACAAATAGAAATTCTGCTCGTGGTACACTAACTTCTGCACCAGGATAAATGGCACCGTATATCAACTATGCATAATAAAGAGATTTTGCCTAATTAATTTTGCTTCTGCAACCATGTACGCGCTTAGCTGTCATGGAGCTTAGCAAAGAGCAAAACAGAGCATAGTGCTCCTGCCCCCTGATTTTTGTCGGTGCCTAACCCCAAACAGAACTCTGTTGCATGAGAGGTTTGTTTGTTTGTTTGTTTGTTTGTTTGTTTGTTTGATTGATTCATTGATTGATTGATTGATTGATTCATTGATTGATCTTTTATACCACCCATCTGGCTGGAGTCCATAGCAAAGAATAAAAACACAATCAATAATCATAAAACACCAATATAATAAATTGATAAAACAGCATCGTAAAGCAAACAACAAAACAAAACAAACAAAAAACAGCTACAGTATATTAAAGGAATCGGCAAGTAAAATTCCCCCCAGAACTGCAGTCAGGCAGCACTCAAGGGATGGGACGGCATCGACTGCTGAAGGGTGGAAGGAGAGATACTGGGTATCATCAGCATATTGAGTACACGACACTCCAGATGTCCAGACGACCTCCCCTAGCGGTCTCATATAGATGTTAAATAGCAAAAGGACACGATGATGATGATGATGATATTTGAACTGCAGAACTGGAAGGGACCCTATGGATCACCAAGTCAAGCCCCTCTAAAGGAGGCCTAGTGAGGAATTGAACTCCCAACCACCAGAGATCTAAACCACTGAGCTATCCAGCATGATTGATCCCTGCAGGACTCCACAGTTTAGAGTCCTAGGGTCAGAGACCATCTCCTCCAGCTTCATTCTCTGAGGTCAGTCCTCAAGAAAGGATCAGAGCCAGGACAATGCCAGGCCAGCAAGACCCACTCCCAAGAACTCCCCAGAAGATATCGTTGTCGACAATATCAAAGGCCACTTGGAGATTGAGGAGGACCAGCAGGGACATTTTGCTGCTGTCAGACTCCCTCAGAAGGTCATCATGCAGGGCGACCATTTCTGCCTCTGTACCATAACACAGCCTAAACCTGGAGTGGACTGGGTCAAGGGCATTGGTTTCATCTAGGAGTGCCTGAAGTTGATCAGCCGCTACTCTCTCCACTAGCTTGCTCAGAAACAATATATTGGTGACCATATTTGGTTTCTTCCAAATGAGCTTGATGAATGTTTCCTTTAGGGCAGTGGTCCCCAACCTTGGGCCTCCAGATGTTCTTGGACTACAACTCCCAGAAGCCTTCATCACCTCCTCTGCTGGCCAGGATTTCTGGGAGTGGAAGTCCAAGAACATCTGGAGGCCCAAGGTTGGAGACCACTGCTTTAGGGCACAGGGAAACTGGCTTTCTAGAGAGACGTGCTGATAATTGATGAAGCCTATTCCATGGTTATCAGCCTGGCAGCCTTCAAAAGCCAGGTTGGGCAAGGATCTAGGGAGGCTTTTAATTGAAATCAAGCATCCTGTCAACCTGAGATGGAGAAACAGGCTGAAACTGATTTAATAAATTAGGGCTGAAGGAACAGATCTGTACAATCCTTTCTTGCCATCTAATCACACCCAAAGTCATTCTTTTCAGGTTTGTGAAATCAGACTTCCAAGGAATCCTTTGCTTAAGTCCTGAAAATCACCCCCCAAGCAAAGCAAGCTAATATAATACTCCCAGAAGTGAGAGCAAAATGTCTTGTGAAACTCAGATGCTTTTATTAGTTAAGGATTTTCCTTTTCCAGCCAAACACTATCTTTAATGTCTATTTCTGGCCAGAGATTCAAAAATGCTTGAATTCAGTAAGGAATTCCCATTTCTGCTTAATGTATATATGTTTACTGCAGAACTAGGAAACACACATTCATACATATATTCCTGATAGCTAGAAAAGTAAGTAAATCTCATGCTCTACGCTAAATTTGCTTGGTGTGTTTGTTTTGCAGGTTTCACAGATGATCAAGATCTGCATCTAGCAGCTAGTCTTTCAACAACCACCTTCATCTTTCCCCCATCAATCCCTTCCTCAAACAGGAAGGCTAAGCCAGGCAGTCTCAATGCCTAAGACCAGCAAAGTGACACAGCGGGAACAAAGCAATGAGCCCGTCACAGAATCTGTGGCTGATCTTCTGGCCCTTGAGGAGCCTGTTGACTATAGACAAAGTGCCTTAAATGTGGCTGGAGAGAACTGGAACAAACAGCAGCCTGATGTGGAGGAAATTGTTGAGGATAGGCCAGCATGGAACAACAAATTTGAGTATATTTTGGCTCAGATTGGCTACTCTGTGGGGCTGGGCAACGTCTGGCGATTTCCATATTTGTGTCAAAAGAATGGTGGAGGTAAGTGACCAAGGGAGAAGGTTCAGTCTGCGGCATAAAAGGCATATATTCATTTTTGCATTCCTGCTGTGACATAAATGGCTTGGGCCCTGGATACCTGAAGGACCGCCTCCTTCCATATGAACCTACCCAGCAGTTAAGATCTAACCAGGGGGCCCTTTTGAAAGAGCCGTCCCTTAAGAAGGTAAGAGGGATGGCTTATAGAGAAAGAGCCTCTCCGGCAGCTGCCCCCAGACTATGGAATGCCCTCCCGACTGAGATTCGTCTGGCGCTGACGCTTATGACATTTCGGCGCCAGGTCAAAACCTGCCTGTTCCAGAAGTCTTTTAATTGAAATAATATCAGCTGTGGGTACAATGGCAATTTTTAGAGTATATATTTTAAATTGTATTTTAATTATTTTGCCTTTTTATTGTATTTTAAATGTTGCAAGCCGCCCAGAGACCTTCGGGTAGTGTGGGCGGCATATAAATAAATAAATAAATAAATAAATAAATAAATAAATAAATAAATAAATAAATAAATAAATAAATAAATAAATAAATAAATAAATAAATAAACAGACAGACAGACAGACAGATAGATCGATAGATCGATGTATGGGCCTGAGGAGGCTACCTAATTATCCAGTCAGATCTTAAATAGTATTGTCTACACTGATTGCAATCCCACTGATGTTCCTTTGAAGTTTGTGTAACTTGCTGCAGCTAATTGTGGCTAAGAGAGGAGGTTCTGGAAAACATCTTAGGTGAACAACTGGGCATATGACCAGATGCATAATGTAGATGCACTGCAGCATGTTGTCGATTTGCCACAATTAGCTGTGGCAGGTTATGCAAAAAATAAGATTCTGTCATGGTTTCAAACAGGGATCTTTCCCATGTACTTGAAAATGGTGATGCTCTACTACTGAGTTCTAGCGCTAAGCTCCCATTTTTCTCTTGTGCGCTACCACTGAGCTACAGCCCTTCATTTTGATGCATGGTCAAGTTATCTTAGTTGGTCCCTGGAGTTTGTCCCAATGGATTTTTTCATGCCACTACTTCATATAATCACGAGAGCTCATTAAAAGCCAGTGAATGGCTTCTGAATCAAATTTGTCTTGTGTTTACTCATATAAGGATTATTTAAACAAATAATTTTTCCTACCCCATCTCATTCAGTCAGTCTGTTGTAAGTACTATTTTCTTGGTCACTCCATAATTATGTAGCAAGAATAACAACTGAGATAATGAAATACTGCTAAATTGTCCTTGGAGTGTGTTTTATTTATTACTTGCCTTAACTATTAGTTTTCCTTGATTGTGCAGACAGACCCATGGCTAAATCAAATTAAACTATTGTTAACTTAAAAGATATGGAAGTGCCTTACTACTGAACACACCCCTGGAAGCTGGTAATTATTTCAAATAGAGTACTTCTTTCAGTTTAAACTTGCCTAGTTCAATTATACTTTGTAATCCTAATGAGGTAGTTCAGTTTATTTTAGGCTTACATTTCATGATCCGTTGTTAAACAAATCACTTTTTTCTGATGTCACCCTTTGAAGCAGGCTGGGATTATTGAACAGCATGGAAAAAAATTAAATATAAAAATTAAGTATTTCAGACATGGGAGTAGGGCAAATAAAACATGATTGCTGATGTTTTTGCATTGGATATTGATATTAAGAACTGAAAATGTTATTTTAATTTTTCTTTATTGTACAGCCAGAAGAGTGCCAACGTACTTACTAAAGTGTATTGGTGCCACTAATCTGCTTCTTTTTAAATTCTTGTTATTCAGAGAGTGTAGCGCTGTACAGTGAATAAATCCTGTGACACAGATCATGGATGAGAAAAGGAACCAGCCTAATAAATGGGAAATGTTACCATTTTGGAATACAGCTCTCAGAATGTCACAGCCAGCTTGGCCACTTCTGCAAACCTCTGGCTGGGAATTCTGGATTTCAACCTTTCTAGCTTTTGTTTGGTTGAATGTCCCCAAGGGCTTTTTCTCTTACTCACCAGCACCAAAGTCCATTCATAGGGACAGTGATAGACCATCTGCCAGACTATTTTTTGTTGACTCATCTGTCACTGGTTACTTCTGTCCATTCTGGCCAAAACTGGACTACTGGTCTAACCTGTTTGTGCCTTTCTTGAACTCTAGCTACTTGGGGCTCAGTTAACTCAGAAACTGGATTTTAGCCTAAATTTTTGTCGATTACAATCCAGTTCTTCAGGTGCATGGGGGGAAAAAACCAAAAGAGCAAGCACTATAATTTCTCTCAAGCTTGATTCAAATTGAGGCAGAACTGATATCTAAAACTACTAAATAGAAAGCATAGCTGCTTGTTTATTTTCCTTTCCATATTTCTTTCCATGAACAACCTCAATATCTGTTTCTTATCATAATCAGTGAGTTAATTTCATTTGCAATGGACTTGCACATGTTCCTTATCATTCTGGGGGAGGAGTTGAAGACAGTAACTGGACAAAGTAGACTATAGTCCACACAAATTCACAATAAACATGCCAGGCCAGTATCCTTGGGATACATGCCAACCTCGGGAGAGCATAACATTTCACCCATGGAGTTCATGCAGTCTCTCTGATTTGCCTTTGGAATAGGAAATGGCCCATCCTTGTTCACAGTGGGGTTTACAAATGCACAAGGAGGTCCTGGATACAATCTTGCATAATCTTGGGGAAAGCCCCTCTGCTTTTGCAAAGGAGCACTGCACCTTTGGAATGGTGCAAAAGGATACCGGCCATAGTCTTTACAATGCTGACACGCTGGTCAACTTGAAATCATTGTTTTAGCTTATTGACGAGGATCTGTGTGAATTTATTGGAAGGTTTGGCAACAGATCTATTAAGAACATGAGAGGAGCTGTGCTGGATGAGGACAACAACCATTCTGTTCCTTCTGTTCCTTCTGTTTGTCCTTAAAACAGGGACAGATAGATTTAAAAACAGTTTTTATCCAAGGGCGACGACTTTGCTAAATTCAGTTAAGATTTAATCTGACTTATTGTAGGGTTGCATGTCAATGTATTTTGTTGCTGTTGTATTATGTTGGAATTTGTGGGGAATTTGCATGGAGCTTTGGCTGAATGAGTGATGCACTGTCTGGATGGCACTCTGGTGATTTTGTTGCACATGCAATGACAATAACGTGTTATTCTATTCTATCCAATTCTATGACCAACAAAATGAATGCAGTTCTTTGGCTAGTGATGTCAAATGTTTGCAGCAAAAATATTTTTTTGGTTTATTTACTATCTCTCTCTCTCTCTCTCTCTCTCTGAATGAATGAATGAATGAATGAATGAAAAATGAATGAATGAATGACAACAATATAAAGTAAATAAACTGAAAAAATATTTTTGCCCCAAACATTTGACATCACTATATATATATATCTCACACCTTTCTCCCAATGAAGGAAAACACAGCAGCATATAACAACTAAAAACATATATATTTAAAATCGCGATGTTAAGCTATAACATTAAAACACCATTAAACAAAGAGAATTTTTTTAAAAAACATTGTCTGCTAGGTGTGAGGACAGTGGATATTGTGAGCTCCCCACGAGACTAGTAACCATGTTGCTGACAGAGAGAACAGCTTTCACACAGAAAGAGGGAGACAGAGGTGGGGACAATTCTCTGCAGCACCATCTGCTCCAAAGCGTACAATACGATACTGTATTAATTGAATGCTTTGCTGGAAAAGGGCATTAACGCTGCCCAGATGAACACCCAGATTATCAAGGCAAATTCATCCTCCCCGTCCCACAAACAGGCAAGCATTACAATAGTTTCTTTCGTGGAGGTGTGCATTAATTGCTAATGATTCCCACTGGTTAGTAGTGAGAATGTCTCTGTCACCTTGTCTGGCCTGTCTTTTGCCTTGGAATTCACAGCATATATTAGATTTTAACAATCCTGAACTCTTTTAGCACATTAGGTCTAGTGAGATGGGAAGCAGAGTGTGGAAACGTTAATTTTTAGACTACAGCCCCCAGGCTTCCTCAGTTGGCCTGGCTTAGAATTCTTTCACAGATTTCCCCCTAAACCGCCCCCCCCTGGTTTCTAGTGGGGTAGAGACACCTTTTCTGTTCCCCCATGGTTGCTGCTTAGTGTCTGTTTTGTAGGGGCAAAAAAGGAGTGGTTTTCAGCAGAAAAATCAGCTCAGGCCCTAATCTGGATGAGGAACATGATCTAGATCAGAACCCCAACACAGCTGCTTTGTCCGTATTAAGAGGGATTGAGATAAACATCTTTGTTTAAACACATCTTTATTTATTTGTATCAGCATTGCACAGTTTAAAACTGTGGATGCATGTGAAATGTAGGTACAGTAATATTAAAAATAAATTAAAAGGTTAAGATAATTGACTGTTTTTGACCAGAAGTAGGCTACTTCAATAGCGTTATCTCAGCCATTTGCTAGATCGTTCTTTGTACAAGTGGCGGGGCATATATTGCATGCACATATGCTTTATTGATTGAATTTCTCTATAGTCATAAAAGAAGCTTCCTAGAGGGGTGGAAAAGCACTGTGGGTATACTCAGGCATCCCCGGGCAATGATGTGCAGCTGGCCAGTCCTTCACTTCCCGAAGCATTTAAACACATTAACATCTGACATCATGTGTACTTTGGCTCTGAGAGCTGCCAAATATACTATATTCAAAGGTATTCTCTGCCTTCATTTGACCAATTACCTTAAAGTGTATTTGGAAAACAGAAAGTACTTCATCAATTTAACATAGAAATATAAGATGTTACCAGAAGTTGAAAGTAATGAGTTATAACTGAAACATAGTGATCCGTAACGAGCATGTTAGATTACTCTTTCCATTGTTATTCAGCTCTGTTGTGGTCCAGTTTTATAGGTTTTATCTTTTTAAGCAGTTTTGTTTTTCACTAATATTTATTATAACCTGTCTTGAAAATATGTTTAAAAATGAACAAGCAGAAAACAGAAAATTTGGGCTAAATTTATTTCATCCTTTTAAATTTTGTTTGCTTAAGGCTGGAATATCACCTAGTGTTGCATGTGATACATAATATTTTAACATGCTTAGTAGCAGAGAATGAAGGGTCTCAATGGTTATAGGTGGCCACATTGTCGTGGAAGAGTTTTATGCAGACTACTGGGGTTCAATTTAAGTATCTGGAAGCCGCCTAGAGTGGTCCCTGGACCAGATGGGCGGGGTATGTATGTATGTATGTATGTATGTATGTATGTATGTATGTATGTATGTATGTATGTATGTATGTATGTATGTATGTATGTATGTATACATACATACATACATACATACATACATACATACATACATACATACATACATACAGGTAGGCACTGCTAGCACTTAATTTTCCTAGACAATTACATTTGAACCAGAAGCTTTTTAAAAGGCATTATATAAATGAAATAAAATAAGAAGGTTTAATTTCTACGGCTTTCAGCAGTCTTCCAGTGCCTTTTTGTCAGATTCAATGTGTTGGGAGCTGACACAGTTGCAGCGAATATTTTTTGAGGTTGCCTAAGATAATGTGATGCACGTCAAAATGTAAGCTGGTGATATTGTGCTCTGTGTGCTTAATCTTTTTTATTCTGCTTGTCTGACTCCCCTAAATGTGAAGCAAAAGCAAAATCCTGTCTGTGCCGCTTTCCTGTCAGTTAGAATTATAAATGTTGCCTGGAATATTGATTTTAAAAAAAAATCTTTTTTTCCCTTTGAGTTCCTGGTAGCAGAACAGACTTTCAGCATGCTTAGTTTTTGATTCTCTCATCAGCTGAATTTCCCACTCCCACTGCCCATTTCATTCAGCTCTTCAATTATCCAAAGATTAATGGCATTGCTATATAAGGAAAACCTTTTGTGGAGTGTTTTCATCTGGCCCTTCCAGAAACTGTTCCCTTGAAGCACATAGCTGGCACTGGAAATACCATTGTGAAGGCACTGTGTAATTCAATGTATATATATTTATATGTGTGGTCTTAAAGACAGTAATGTGTCTGCCTAGTCCTTGCATGTACACATGCAGCTGTATGCTCAGACAGTTGTCCACTCAACAGTTTCTATAATTCATTACATGTCTTATAAGCAACGGAACTTGAAGTAAAATCCTGATTTAATGACCACCTTTCCCTTCCAATCTCATTTAAAATAATTACAATCTTACTGTCTTTCCTCTACAGAATGAGAAAAATTACAACTCAAGCCTTTTAGTTGCATGCTTTTAGTTGCAGTGGTGCCCATCTGTGGTGAATCCATGCCAGGTTTCAGTCCAAACTTTAAGCAACTATACTTATACTGAAAGCAGAGTCACCAGCCTTCACTGGTCTCAGCTTTGCTTTTGCACAGCTAAAGTGCCTGCCTCTGAGAAGTCCTTCCTCAGTGCCAGACATTGTGGGTGTGGTTGGCTCCCAAGGGTGAAGTGTTTGAGAGTGGTGGCACTGAGATGACTTCCAGCTGCAGAACGGGGCAATCCACCCCTCCTGGTAACCTTGACTGAGGTAGGTGCCTCACTTGGTTTAACAGGAGGGCCAACTCTCCTAAGAAGTGAACATGTTTCGCTTGAGAGCAGCGGGATATGGCTGACTCCTAGATGCAATCATTGCCAGTGCGGCACGCCCCTGTTTAGCCATGAAAGTCATCTCCTGTCCTGGGACAAGCCCCTAAAGTACAGACTAACCTACTTCAAAGGATTCTTGTGAAGATAAAGCAGGGAGTAGAAGGGAACTGCCTGTGCTGCCTGGAGAAAAGGTAGACTTTGAAAAATACCAGTTAAAATAAAACGTTCTTGTTCTTTGCCTGGTGTAGTTGAGAGTCTCCCCCTGCAATGGAACTTCTCTTTTCTTTCAGGTGCTTATCTTGTTCCATATCTGGTGCTGCTCATCCTCATTGGAATTCCCCTCTTTTTCCTGGAGTTGGCTGTGGGCCAGAGGATCCGCCGGGGCAGTATAGGCGTGTGGAACTACGTTTGTCCCCGGCTGGGCGGCATCGGATTTGCCAGCCTCCTGGTGAGTTCCTGTTTTAACATGGTTCTGTGGGCTGCGGTTCGACAGGTCGCTTCCAAAACAAGACTATCTAGCACAGCCATTCTTAAGGGGGTCATAGAGTCTCCTGGAGGCCCTGGGCACATTTGAAGAGGGCCACAGAGTGAAAAATGTTAGGTGTTTCTGAAAGACATCCATTTGTGTTGTATTCTTGTGTGACAGGGGGCCCTGGGACCTGAGAAGAATTTCTAAAAGGGCTGTGGTCAAAAAGAGGCTAAGAATCGCTCTAGCAGACGTACATATTTAACCCATTTACCATAGTTGAAAGCTTTTAGGTATAAAACGAAATAGAATCAAAATCATATCCACCTGTGGAGCTGATTAGTCATTAATCATGCTATTGGGTGCATTAATTCATATTTTTCAGGTTGTAGTTTTTTTTTCTGTTTTGCTTTGGCAATTCTTGCCCCCTTGCAGTTTATTAGCCCAAGGGAGCTTTTGCTCTTCCATGGTTCCTAATTCTTTTAATAAGGCTCACATGGGAGGATTTCCTTCATTGTTTTAGATATTATTCAGCCTCTGTCACAGGTGGAATCTTAAGACAATATCTGATTCCTCAGATGCTATTTAATTTGCCAAAACCTTGAAATGCAATAGAACTCTTTCTGTTTGTTGCACGAGATCCAAACACTGTTTTGTTCTCCTTTTGCCAGGTCTGCTTGTTTGTTGGGCTTTACTACAATGTGATCATAGGATGGAGCATCTTTTACTTTTTTAAGTCCTTCCAGTACCCCCTGCCTTGGAGTGAGTGTCCCATCTTAAAAAATGGTTCCATAGCAAGTAAGTATTTTTTTCTCCATAACTTTGCATGGGGGAGAGGCAGATATGGGGAAAATAAAAAAAAATGGACTACAACTCCCATAGTCCTCTTGCCAGCATGGCCATAGACCCTATTGTCTGAGGTATTTTAGAAGCTTTCATCCAAAAATAATTTTTCCTCGCTGATCCAAAAGTCCAAGCAGTCTCTGCAGAAATGAGGGAACAGACAAACCTTTGTACTGTGATTTAGCTTTGGGCTACTTTCCTTCGAGAACTAAGATTTGGATAATGGGTCCCAGAACAACATGGGCCAAAGTTATGAAGCACCAGGAGAGATGGATCTGTGTCATTATCTTTTTTTGTCTTCATTGGGCACAAGGAGATAGATAAATACTCACTCTACAGCAAGTCAACATAATTTTATCTAAGGGACTGGCAGACAAGATTCTGCCATGGCAACCATGTTGTTTAGTTGTTAAGTTGTGTCTGACTCTTCGTGACCTCATGGACCAGAGCACGCCAGGCCCTCCTGTCTTCCACTGCCTCTCAGAGTTGGGTCAAATTCATGTCGGTCATTTCGAAGACACTGTCCAACCATCTTGTTCTCTGTCGTCCCCTTCTCCTCCTGCCTTCACACTTTTCCAACATCAGGGTCTTTTCCAGGGAGTCTTCTCTTCTCATCAGGTGACCAAAGTATTGGAGCCTCAGTTTCAGGATCTTTCCTTCTAGTGAGCACTCAGGGTTGATTTCCTTCAGAATGGATAGGTTTGTTCTCCTTGCTGTCCAGGGGACTCTCAAGAGTCTCCACCAGCACCAGAATTCAAAAGCATGAATTCTTCGGCGGTCAGCCTTCTTTATGGTCCAGCTCTCACTTCCATACATCACTACTAGAAAAACCATAGATTTGACTATGTGGTCCTTTGTCGGTAAGGTGATGTTTCTGCTGTTTAAGATGCTGTCTAGGTTTCTCATTACTTTCCTCCCAAGAAGCAGGTATCCTTTAATTTCGTGGCTGCTGTCTCCATCTGCAGTGATCATGGAGCCCAAGAAAGT